TACTGGTGTTACCGTTGGACATCAACGTCAACGTTCAACTCGCGTCCTCGGAATGGGCCGAATGTAATCTATAGCCAAGTTCGTGCAGCGTCGAATTCCTGGTAAACGCTCTTCCCAAGCGCAGCGAAGGCAGTCGATTCCGGATGAAGCAGACTCATCTTGAACCCCCCATCCGTTATTGCCTAGTCAAACCTTTTCGGCCTACTCTCTCTGCAATCGCTCCTCAATTTCCGCCCACTGAGAAGTTGTGCTGCATGTGTCTCCTTCCTGAGATTCCGTACCTCCTCTCCCATGGCGTCTGCAGGGAATGAAAATACCTACCACCAACCTACCACTCGGAGATGCACCCAATCAGGTGTCGCCTCTTCGACCTTTATCGCCACATGATTGACACTCCCGGCTTTCTTGAGACCCGTGGATGAACTCTGGGTAACTTGCAGGCTTTCGACAGGTACGCGTATGTAGACTCCCTGCTGTCCCAATACCTAATTATACCGACACGGCTCGCTACAGGTTGCACATGGCCCGGGCTCCCGTTTGTGACATCCTCCTCCGACGACGCAATGCGACATGCCGGAGCCAACTGGCTGGGACACAACAGCTCCGCGCGCCCACACTCCTCGCCGCGCTGTACAGGCGGACGCCCAACGATGAGCGCTCATCTTCAAGCTCATAGTGTGCCGAAGTAGCACCACTGCGCACGGCTAACCTTTGATCATGATCGGCCAGCCCTGTTCAGACGCATCTACATTGTTGAGAAGGATGATGTCCCCCCCTCCTTCCTGCTGTTGTTCCGCAGGCCCGGCTTCACGGAGACAGCGACGATCGCGAGCCAATATTGTTTGCAGACTGGATTACCTACCTGGAGTACTACTGGGATATCTTGAGTATGGTGTTATATAAGTATACTCAAAATATGTTCGCTGAAAGAGGAGAGCGACGAAATAATTTGATGATGGATGGAGACACTGCTCAGAATGCTCAATGGTGAGATAATTGCATTATGTTCCTGCCCATTGTCTTCATCTTGCTAAGTGCCGTGACACAAATTTATTACAAAGGAACGGCCAGTGAACAGAGGATATTATTGGGTCCATTGACTGCGAGCGAGACTTCGTACGATGGTTTCTGAAACACTACTCCCGACGAGTTCCGCATGTTGACGCTTGAGTAACCTGCGGCGCTCCCATTAGCTCCAGTGCGTGATGTAGGTCATCTGCAATAGACGAGTCCCATGTCCAGCGCACGAGGTCCGAGATGCGCTCCTCGAGCGCAGCAAGCCTCTCAGGAGCAACCGTGTCCCCCTCGCGCACATCAGCGAATTCAGCGCCCTCGAATTCGTAGTTCTTACCCTGTTCGACAGACGCCTGCACGACGAAATTGCCGAACGGTTGCCGAACCGCGCTGTACGAGGCAATGATGTGGGCGATGTCGATGCGCTCTCCGCTCACGGGCGGGGACGCGGCGACCAGATGCGCAAGGATGTACGCGTCCTGCAGTGCGCTTCAGCGGTGAGATTCGTGTAAGCGGCTTAAGTATGAGACGTACGCACCTCGAAAGCCTGTCCAGCGCCGTTCCCCAGGTGAGGTGGCATGGCGTGCGCCTTGTGCGCGATATTGCGTCAAACTACAGTCAAATTTGAAGACAAAATACTAACTCACTGAGTCGCCCAATAGCACAATTCGACCCGCGCCGTACCTTTCGAGTGGCTTGACTATTTCTATTGCCCACCGAGATGGGTTTATCATGTTCTTCCAGCGATAGATGTTACTTTGATTGTAAGGTGAATGCTTGAAAAATACATACATCCGTGATACATTTCGTCTCCGCTGACCAATTAGGGTACAGAGCAGAGACGTTGACTGTCGTTTTCGGTACCGTAGATGGGCCGTCGAATAGTGTGTTCTCTTTCCCTGGATCCGAGAAGAAAGCAACCGCGTTGATTTGCCTGCCGGCTGAGATTGGGTATGCGACGACGTGCTGAGCATAGAATTAGCGCGCGTTCTCGGTGCAGATATAATCGATGTACTTTATTCTTCCCACAAAACTGGCCGTCAACGGAACTTTGATGAGAGTCTCAAAAAGGTCATCGCAGCAAATACGCACTGATACAGGCCGGAGCAACGCTGGGTGCTTAGGGTCCAGCTGCGCGACAAGACTGCTCTCCATAACGCTCCTGTAAACGGTGGTACCAGTCCACAGTGGGTGCGCCTCCCTCACCGCGTCGTCCGCACTGAGATTATTTTCCTTCGCGAGAAATCCTCGGCGCACGACGGAGTTGATCCCGTCCGCGCCAACGAGCATATCGCAGCGTGCTGTCTCCCCGTTCTTGAAGGAAAGCTCGACGTCTGCATCAGACTCGACAAACGACGTCAGTCTGCATCCGAGGTGAATTTGGATGCGCGGGGAAATATGTGCCAAAAGCACGGTCAGGACATCTGCACGGTGGAAGGAGACCGATCCACCAGGGAATGAAAGGTCTGATATGTGCACATCCTCAGGCTGGTCGCTTTTCTTGAATACCAATGAAAGTACTGAAACATTGTAAGTGGCTTGGGAGGGAAGCGGTTCTTCATATCAATATTCACCTAGCTTATCCTTCGACGGGATTTCTTGTCCTGGATTGAGAAAAGCGGCAAGGTCTTCTTCGAGGTCTAGAGCCTTCAGGATCTCCCACCCTCGCGGCCAGAGCGTGATTCCCGCGCCCACCTGCGTTAACTTCGCCGCTGACTCGTAAATGTCAATCTGTATTTTTGCATCGACTCCCATGCGAGTGAGTGCTACTGCCAGCGTGAGTCCGCCGATCCCTCCCCCGCTAAACAACGACAAGATGTCAGTCGGGGGACAATGTAATCGCTGTAGATTACCCTAGATCACATACACAATTGCCAATCGAAGTTGAGGGATGCTATCCATTATTGTGTATAAGGTGTCTTCCCCCGGGCTAATAGCGGTGGAAGTGGGACCAGTACAAGAGCTTCAGTAGAAAGTCGGAGTCGTCACGGTCATGATGCTGGTTCGTATTGGGTTTATATAGACCAGGATACCAACGAAATTAGCCGCCAATAGGAGAATTTTCCATCCATCATGATGACTAGCGGTCATGGGAAGGTCCCAGTCTGTGGTGCGAGAGTACAGCTCTGAACGACAGTGATGCAAAGAGGTGAAACGAGTGCGAACAGATTAAGAAATGTACCAATTTTAGTTGCAGGCAAGTCGGCGCGGGAATCAAGCGGGAATGGTTGAAGTCGAAAGGCTATAAATAGAGCACTCATCATAACTTTATGATTCAAGTCTGATCGTACCCTACTTCTACGTCACAGTACCAATATCGATATCGACAGAAACCAGTCTTCACAGTAGTAATCCTGTCATTTATATATCTGTGACGACGGAACACTATCAACGGCTGAAATGGATCAAGGAAAACAAATATTGGCCCCGCACTTCAGCGTTTGAATGGCCTCAGACCGTGCTCACGCTCCCAAGCTTCCACGCTTTCTTTTGTGTAGTGATAGCTTATTCCCGTATTGAAGCCTTGCCTGTCGACCTCGCGCTCCTGCTGTATTTTCGCTTGCCGGCGGGCCAACAGGTCGTCCGACTCGGGCGCTCCATCGACACGTTTATCCTCGACTTCTTTTCTTTGCACAGAATCAAACCCTTGTCTGTGTATCTCGCTATGGCGCGCCTCCGGAGATTTCCCTTCGGAACTCTGAGAGGGCTCGTCCTCTGTGACGTCCACATCAAAGATATCCCGCCCACTAGTCTTTGCGGAGGCGTAGATGGGTTGATTTTCTAACGGGCCTCGGAGCACGGGATCGCCAGGCCGATGTAAAGACAGATTGCTGTCCATGCGCTTTCGTTTGACTGCTCGAAGCGCTCGTTCGCAAATATACCTCAAACCGTAGCAGTAGCCATCGAAGACAGTAGAATTCATAAGCGTTCGTAACTCACAGGTTCACAAACTATCTTTCAGTACTTACAACCTCTTTGGCCACGATCTACTAGCAGCGCCTCGAAGACGTTGCATCTATTTAGCCCCGTGGAGGGCGTTCATGAGTTGATCATTCGTTAAGCGTGATGCTATACATGTCATATACCGGCCCCCGCAACTCCAACGAAGCTAAATAGTCAAGCTGCATCATTCTCGACGAGCTTGCCGCAGACTATGTACTTGCCCGAAAAATGATCAATCCATCCTATCGAAAGTATCAGTATCGTTGCAGCGTTGGGCAATAGTATATGATTGGGCAAACCTTTCATGTTATCGCTGATTCAATTATCACACCATTAAGTTCTATACAAAGAAGTGGTGTGAGAACTTACATTTCATCCTGCTTCAGGTCGTCTAATTTATCCAATGGCTGGTCTACTGGCGTCAGCATTTCTAATGAACTGTGTAAGTAAGCCGGACCCTGGTAATCTAATTAGAACGTGCCGATATCGAACGACTGCTTGGCCATGCCCCGCGATGCGTCCCGACCTGCAAAGTTACCATACATGCCGTCTGCCGCGTGTGAGCACTGTGCACACCAGTCGAATAACTCGGACATACCAGGGCCATAGAAGTTCCTCCCCGCCGTGACGTCGAATACGATCCCGTTGATAGCAAGTAGTATGCGCTCGTTGTCCCGGCCGTTGAAAGGTTCTAGAGTCTTTGGCGTGTACACCTTGAATAGCACAGCCGGTGGGTGCGCCTTGGGTAGCCACGAGTACCCCGCCTTGAATTCGCTCGGAACGGTGGCAGGCTTGGATATTGGGGGAAAGATTATGCGCTGCACCGCATATAGAATGTACAGGAAGAGGGCAGTGTTTATTGGCGTTCCGAGGTCCAGAGTCAATCCCATGTTCGCCAGCAGAATTCGATAGCTGTGCAATGTGGTAGTCAGTCGGAGAGTGAGCGCTCAGACTCGGAGGCTGTGCGTGCCATATTCAATGCGTATGTAATTTCTTCCCACACACTTCAGTACAGATAGCACAAATTACCTACCCCTTACATCGGCCTTATGGTCTAGTAGCATGATTCTTCCTTTGGGGTAACCTTTGGCTTACTTAATGGAAGAGGTCCTGGGTTCAATTCCCAGTGAGGCCCTTTTTGCCTCATGTTACCAGGTAGATCGACGTGGTAAACCCAGGCGTCTCGACTCTCGAGTTTGCTTGTCTTTTGTGAACTTTGAACTTTGAACCTATAAATTTATAATACTAACACCTGTTCTATTTTTCAGCTGGTAGGTGAAAGGTATCTCCTGGACCCATGAAAAAATATAAGGTAAAAGCCCCGCTGGTTGTTCGACGAAGGCTGACCTGTGGGCAAGGGTCCCGGGCTCAATTCCCAGTAAGGCCCAGCAGTTTAATTATACTGGTAGCAGTGCGAGAGAACAGAAAAAACACATAGAGTAGAATAGTGTTAGTAATAGTAGGGATATGACAGTGTCGTAAGCCTTCTGGAGCCATTTTTCGGCCATGGTGGAACGGGATCAAGAACTTCTCGGTATATGCGCTCACGTGGGTCGTGATTTAGAATAACAGCAATTACGACATAGTACATGCAGCGAGTAGACAAGTGCGACAGTGATAGACAGTACAGAACAGCATAGTTAGCAGTGCGAGAGAGCAGACGACCACCAGTGTGACAGAAAACAAAGCACATAGAGGAACTCAGATTCCAGACATGCAGTCCTCTAAAGAGAGAAGTTCAAAAGCATCAAAGTCAAGAGTATCGTCACCAAGAGCAATCGATTCAGACTCTGTGGACTGCACACAATAATATCATTGTGTGATATACTAATATTAAGTACATGAGGTGAGTTGGAGACAGATAATTTATTTATCTTGTTGATTCAATATGATTTTAATGACATAGAAAGTAAAATAGACAAGAACTGAAGGTATTTATATTTTTTGAAGGGTACAACAAGCAGTGAGTCTACGAGATGGGAGCCTAAGAAGTGGTCATGGCAGATAACATGGCAGGTAACATGCGTGGGAAAGTGCACATGACCATGTTATCTGCCATGGCAGATAACATACCCAGCTTATTGATGGGTAAGCCCGAAAGTTGCCTGGGGAGGTTCAATCCCCGGCTCCGCCGGGAATTGAACCCCCCCCACAAATCGAGGTCATGGGCTCAATTCCCTGCGAGGCCCATTTTTATTTTGTATACACATGGAGACCACAGGATTGTCAATGAGAAACTATCTATGACTCTCTAAGTCGGGAGGATGTCAGAAAAAATCTCGTTATAGTGACAAGGGAGGCCGTTCCTTGTACCAGTATTTTCTTTCGAGATGGAGTGGATTCAGATTTTCAGTCCAACATAACAACCAAGGTTCCTGCTTCAGTTGCTTCAATGGGGAAGGTCACATATGGTCTACATATTGGCGTGGACAAATGCTCTGAGGTGAACGTCTAGGAGTGTCTATAAAACAACGTAATAGTCCCCGTCGTGTAATTCGGTCACAACAGCAGTAGAAAGGCATAGGATAATATATCACGAGGGAGGGTAGTATTTGTCCAAACAGTCGCACTTCGAATTACTCTGTGCGCACTCATTCAGTTGAGGACGATTTCCGATTCATCATCGGCTTTCGAGCAGGAGTCATGCAGCGTGGTAGGCGCAAAGCCGGACATGCAGCGGTGGACCACGCACTGGCCGCGGATGCACGAAACATCGGCGACGCCGTGGATGGAAGAGCAGTCTACGCCAGCCGCGTAGTGGCCAGGAAAGAGTGGGATCATGCATCCGCCACCTAAATAAGCTTCAGTATGACGATCATATAAAGGCATGTGAAGGGACGTACAGCTCTCGAGGTCCGTCTGGGTATCGACACACTCCATAGCACCTCCGCCGCGGCCGGGCACGGGGCAAGAGGTCTTTCCCAGGTCACATTGGAGGCCTCGCTTGTAATACGGGCGACCGCTGGCACAGCCTTTAAACAGTCCACACTTGCCGTTGCAGACGGTGTATGGCTTGTTGCATACGCATTGAGTCGGACGACCGTATGGGAACGGTGTAAATCTACGTCGGGAAATTCATTAGCAGAATGTGTAAATTTGCAGCAGAGATAACCTACCCATCACTGCAGGTGAAGCTGCACGGGTTCCCGCGCACGCAAGATGGGACAGAGTGGGCAGGATAGTGGCAAGTATGTTTATCGCAAGAGTTGAACTATGAAGAGATCATTAGACATGCCACATCGCAAACGAATAGAACACTATACCAAGTCATTGATAGCTACTGAAACAGGATTTCTTCCAGAACCAGCCACCGCTGCACTAGTAATCGCATTGCTCCCAACATAGCCGGAGAGATGGGATTGGCAGATACAATCGTCTGAGACGGTTTATCAGCATAGACACGGCGTGAACAGTTATTAGTTGACTCGCCAACGTTCCCGTAGGTGACCGGCTTGTAAGGAGATTTTAGGCCGGGAAGCCTAAGGACCCCATTTATCTCTCCACAAATATCTGAGGACTGTGCCGCCACGAGCAGGAAAAGCGAAGATGTCGCCAAGGTATATTTCCAGAGAGCAGCACCCATTTTTGCGGGGTAGATATTTCGACAAAGAAGATCCACACTTTATATGCACGAGCCGCCGCTACATCAAACAATCAATATAACTGGTATGGCAATATTCACCCAGAGGGAGGCTGAGCGGAACATTATTGATAGATCGAGGAAAGGGTCACGATCTGACTGTATCTAGCGACATCCTCAGGCTAGTATCAAGATCCATTTATGGCGGAGTGCATGGGTGTCCATATCCAGGCCACTGAGCACAGGCGGCTAGAATCGCAGAGGTGCAGAAGGTAGCAGAAAATGGCTTAGTGGTGGAGAGATAGTGGTTGAGAGATAAACGTTTCGCAGTGTGGCCAATACAATGCAGCAGCAAGATGTGACGTGACGATGCCCTTGAGATGAGGTGTTTCTTGTGCTCAAATGAACATACAGCTAGTTGCATCACGAACTAGGCAGGCGCTAGACGCTGACGCCGCATCGCTGGCTCTTCGGATCGAATTCTTATGTTACCTGCACATAGCCTAGCAACCGTGGATGTAGATCGTGTCAGCGCTAAGTCATCGCCGTTCTAGCGACATACCGGGTGCTGATTTGACGACTTTCCGGTACGGTTCATCCGGTGTTTCGTGAATTTGCATGAACACGTCTTTGACTACGTCGTGGAGGCGCCAACGTCCTTCGAAATGTGCTGCATGGCCGCACAATCCCCGCTAGAAACGCTGCTCCCAGCCTCAACGACGGTCCATATTGAGGATATGTCACATCGTACGAAGGGCCCAGTCGAGCATTACAACACGGCGGATCTCTTGCGTTGAATAACATCTGCTCTACGCGGCGTTTAGTCGATCCGACGCAGGAGCTGGCAGCGCATAGAGAAAGAGCGGGTCAAGTCGACGCAGAGTGCATAGTCTAACAAGCAGAAGGGGAGGCCAGGCGATGAGTTTCCGAGTATGTAGGTCACCGTCAGAGGCAAGTGCGAGTGGCCAGACGATCCGATCATTGTTTGGGGCGGCTAGGGACGGGCTGCGGCCATCAAAATGATTTCCACAACGCCACACCCAAAGGAGAAAAAAGCGAAAAAGCAGGTCTCTTTTATTCGTGGGGTATAGTCTGTGAAAAGAATTACATGAAGAAAATGGAAGAGGCAGAGTATATTATATGTATATCTGAACGGCAGCATATTTTACTGTACAATCTAGAGACAACAAGCGACTCCACTTGTTTTTAGAGGGGCTGTTGAAGATGGACGAGATTTTGACGAGCGCAACGAAGAAAACGTAAATTTCATGTGCGGTCAAAACTATAATACAGGGCATGGAGAACGCGCGAAGATGCCAAAAACTGGAGTTGGGGATTCGAAGGAAAAGCGAGCCGGCGAAAAAGTACTACTAAGACCAGAGCCGATAAAAAAAGGCGGATAATATATAGAGTACGTGGTCATAATACCGCGTCCCATTGAAGATCGAAATAGAGGAAGGGGGATATCAATAACCATTCTGTGTCCCGCCAACTGGCTGCTGCTGTAGCGACGGCGAAGCCATACCCATGTTCGATGCCATAGGCACGCGCGGCGGGGACTGGGACTGGGCGATGTTCGGAAGGGGTGAGGGCGAGTGTGGCATATGCGGCGACATCGAATGCTGGCCATTGACGTGGACGCCGTTCCGCATACCAGGGCGCGCGCCGTTTGCTGATGGCGAGCGCACTGGCACAGCATGTCCCATGCTAGGACTCGATACGTGAACCCCGTTGTGTTGCCCATCGATGCCGTTGACGACTGAGGCCGGCCTCTGCATCGGCGAGTTCATCCATTGCATCGAACGGGCAGGTGGCATCTTCAGAGTCGTTCCCGGCGGTAGCTGCATGTTGAGGTTAGCACCATTAGGTCCAACATGCAGATATCCATTGGAAAGCCCACGAGCTTGGATCCCATTCGAATCGGTGACCGGCAGGAAAATGGACTTGAGGTTCTGCAATTGCTGCTGCGACACCCCACCGGCGGACGGATGCGACTGGTTCTGGTTATGCTGGTACGAGGCTGAATTGGCTAGCGCAGCCGCCATGTTGGTCATCGGCGTTAGGTGATACCCATTGGTAGGAACACCGAGGGCGAGGTGCGATTGCGGCGTCAGATTCTGGGATTTCGGTCGCACAGGGAGCCCATTGACAGTCATTTCCGCATTGATATCGGGCGTCGGAATCGGCGACACACCGTTAGATATGGCCTGGGATGGTAAGGCCTCCGGCTTCTGGACGTCGATATGAGGCATGCTGATCGCGGCCCGGCCTGTGCCGTTGACGCCGTTGGGGGGTGAATGCTGCGGAACAGGAACGGGCATAGGGTGAGGAGGCGAGAGGTGGTGGGGTGTGTTACCGTTAGCCTGAATGCCGTTGGCTTGAAGTCCATTCGGCTGTTGGAGGCCGTTTGCTTGAAGACCGTTCGCCTGTAGGCCATTGTTCTTGATCCCATTGATTTGAATGCCGTTGTTGGGCATGCCAGTGGGCGGCATGTTTGGCGGGCGCATTCCACCGTTCGATGAAATCCGCATCTGAGGAGCTGCAGTCGGTGGCTG